GGAAACGGCACTGTGGAGGACCCGCGGGACCGGCGGCAGCGGGACGCGACGCCTTTTACATTGAAATTTTAACCCGATTTGAGGGGAAAAAAAATATACATATATAGCGCTCTTTTCAGCGCTCTCTTTAAGACGCGCAAAGCAACGTCCATTATTCATCGGCGAATTCCAGTTGAAACTTCTCATGCGCCCCTTTCAATAGGACCAATGTCCATTTTTGCGAACGCGGAGTAACTTTAGCCCTCGGTTTAACTTACTTTTTATCCTTTTTCTAGATCTCACAACTACGCGGGGAAAAAAATCTCGTAGATTCGACCAGTCGTCAGTCAGAAAATGGACGAATCGGAATTCCTTCAGGATTTACCAGATTTGTAGTGGAGTCTAGCAAACTTCTGGTTATGAAATATCTTTCATGGTAAATCCTAAAGGAATTCTGATTCGTCCATTTTCTAACAGACGACTGGTTGAATCTATCAGATTTTTTTTCAGTGTAGGATTTTTGCAAGGGGGTAACCGCTAGCTAAAATGTCGTCCCATCGATTACTTGATATCGTTGGTTTTCATCCGATTACAAATAATCTCATCTAATTGCCAATAATTTTCTTACATGCACGTTTAAAAACATGTGACGTTGCTAAACCTCAAAAAGCTGTTGGATTTCCTCAAAATATATTTTTCTTATCTCACTAAAAAGTGTTTGCTTGTCGAGGTAATTTCAGTTAAGATTGTAGTGTCCGGTCACGTGTTTCCTTGCTTCCCACTTTTCTCACTGGTCTAACCTAGAGACCCTGTAATCAGAGACTGACCGTAAGGGTTCGTCAAATTCCCGCGAGTGAGAGAGAAACATGGGTTATCTCACTCTTCTACGATCGTTTATTGTTACAAATTTGCGCGCGAAGGTGTGTCAACGTTTCAACTCGCTGTTGTTCCAACAGCGACTGCTTCAGTCTCATCATGAAAAGAATACGCGCTTACAGGTGTGAACTGTGATATATGTATATTTGGATATTCACTAAAAGAAGTAGATCTTTGTGGAAAATAAAGGCAAGCTGGGAAAACGTTCAAGTTTAATGTTTATTGTCTAACAAGTGAAGGAAATTGAAAGACAAAATGATCACGCTAGGATTTCGTAAGGATTTTACAATAAATTCGGAGACACTGTCCCACGATTACATCGAGTGGTTACCCCCTTGAATTTTTGCCGGGTGGAAAAAATCTATGGGGCTAAATAAATACCGGGAATAGCTGGGAAAAACCCTACTCTTCTAACTTTCGTTTCTAGTTACCGATCGGGAAAGCGCCGCCAGGCCTCCGCCCCCCCCCCCCTCCCTCTCTCTCTCTCTCTCTTTCTCGCTGAATAATTTTTGTTACACCCCTTATCGATTATACGGCCCGTGGAAGGAGTTGAAATTTAATAATAAAATTTTCACAGACACACGCGCGTTCCAGCTAACCGGCACGAATTCCGGTCAGATAGCCGCGAGTCCTGGGAGGATTAAATAATTCCAAATTCAAGGGTCGCGCCGACCGAGCCGCGCGCTCTCGGGCCGCGTTAAATATCCCCGAAATTAATTAATAATTTAATTCGCGGTGACGCGGGGAATCGGCGGCCCAGGGTTTCGATTTTCAAACGACGGCGACGGAGGCGGCGGCGTCGGCGGCGGCGAGCGCGACAGGCGTACTTTAATTAACTCGCTGGACGTTAATTTCGCGCTTAACTCGCGCCGGAACACGCCGGACTTCGTTTAAGGCACACAGCCGTCGCTATTGATACGCGCATATCCGCGCGACTCCGCTCCGCTCCGCTCCGCGCCTCACAGGGGAGGGCTCTCTCGCTCGGCTGGCGTGTGTGCGGCGCGCCTGCCTGCGGCCGCAAAACACGAAGGCGGTGCCCGTCGCGCCGCGTCGCGTATAGAACGGCGCATCAATTGTTGGAAATGCGGGACACTATCGCGACGAGGCATCGTGATTATTCCTTGACAGCCACTGTGTGCCGCGCGCGGCCCCGTGTATGTTTCAGGCTTCGCGTGAACGTACGTACGCGTATACATACGTCACGTCATCGCGCCTGCCTGCCTGCCTGCCTGCCTGCCTGCCTGCCTGACTGGCCGTGCGAGAGAGGCGGCAAGAAAATCCCGCGTCTCTCTTCCGCCGGCGCGAAAAAGTCGAAAACCGCGCTCGTTTCCCGAAATTGCGCGCGCCCCTCGATTCGAATTCCGTCCGTCTGCTTCGGAGAGAAAAAAAAGAATGGCGTCTGTTTTGCAGCGTTTACCTCAACGTCCCCTTTAAACATCCGCGCAAATTGACGCGCGGCGGCGGCGGCGGCGGGGAAATTCGAACGGAATTCTCCGTCGCGAAACCGGAAGAAATATTCCGAATTATTTACGGCATGTTTAACGATAATCCAACACTCGCCCTCGGCGGGGCACTGGCGGACGATAAACAGTCCTCTCCCCCCCCTCCCCCTCCCCGTCCCCCCCCCGTGGTAAATGGGCTACCACGTTTTCTTCCCACGCGATGTTTCTTACCCAACGTGGCGCGATCAATAACGTGACTCCGAGGTAGAGTGTATCGATTGCCGGAGTAACAATTATTGCTGGCCAATACTTTCACGTGGCGCGCAGTCGAAATTAGCACACGGGGGCCACCCGCGAGCGCATTACGTCCCCGAATCTGCATCTGAATGCGGATCCTTTCACGGGGGGGG